TGTATGTATGTATGTATGTATGTATGTATGTATGTATGTATGTATGTGTGTTTGTTTGTATGTATGCATATATGCATGTATGGATGGATGGATGTAAGATTGAGTTTCTGCTTTGACAGAAATCTACCATTTTTGGCTGCATGTGTATTTGCAGAAATCTAAGACTGGATGTTTCTAAGATGCATTTCAACACCAGCTGTGAATAGTTTTACTTTTGGTCCATCGTCATGTAATCCATCTTTGTGTTTTATCTTTAGAGGACCAAAACATGGCCGTCTGAAACCAGTGATATCATAACCCCAATAAGCTCCACCCCCAATCGAGTTCTTTTCATCTTGTGTTCACCCAGCGTATTAGCTTCATGCACATGCTCCATGCCTTGCTTCCTGTTTTGGGTGTTATTTGGTTGCAGAGGTACAACGCCACGCACAAGCCTGTCATAGTTACTACAGTGTTTTGGTCATTTCCATGTGTCAGTGTGGATGAAGACTATAAAGCTTTTTTATTTTATTTATTACATTATTTAAAAATAAACTGTTTCCGTGTGGACAAAGACTTAGCATAAAGTTTTGTAGTGTGCTGGCTAACAGTGAAGGTGAATCAGTGTTTACCCTGATAGGCCTTGTTCTCCCTGCGCAGAGCCTCCAGCTGCTCCAGGCTCTCCTCATGAACAGTCTTGAGTTTGAAGAGCTCTCCGACGTGCTGCCTGCTCTCCTTCTGACAGCCCTCCACCTCAGCCACCAGCTCCTCACACTTTTGCTTCCAGTCTCCGAGCTGCTTCTCCAGGACCCGTTGTTTCTTATCTAGAGCCTGACCACAGCTGCTGGCCTGAGGCAGGAAACATGCACGGACTGCGTCTGACGGAATTTACTGCCCAAGACAACACATGTCTTGTTTTGATTTATGTTTGTCCTTACCTTCTCCAGATCCATGCAGAGCTCCTCCACCTCGCCTTGCAGCCTCTGCTTGTTCTTTTCCAGCGAGGAGCACTTGGCCTGTGTGGCCTCCACGGCCTCCTCAGCCTCCTGAAGTCTGACTGCCAGCTTCTTCCTGTAAAAACAGTCATCATTGGGACGTCAGACTTCATTAAATCTATTTAAAGGAATCTCCGACTACTTACGCATAATGATCTTTATGTTTTTATTTCTCTGTTCTACTAAAAGTTGTTGTTTGTGACACATGACAACTCCTAATGACTAAAAAATTACATGTTTATTATATTTTTCACCTAAGGACATAATCATTATTTTACCAGTACAATGCCTTTTGGGGCGATGACGTATATCAATTGTAGTGAAGACTAAAACACAAGAGTCAAGGCTAAAGAGTTATAACACATGACATTAAATTACATTAAAGTTTGCATGTTCTCTCTGTGCTGCGTGGGTTTTCTCCAGCTATTCCAGTTTCCTCCCACAGACCAAAAACATGCATGTTAAGCTGATTGGTAACACTAAATTGTCCCTAGATGTAAGTGAGAGGGTGAATGGTTGTTTGTCTCATTTGTCTCTACGTGTCCCTGTGATGGACTGGAGACCTGTCCAGGGTGTCTCCCGCCTCTCGCACAGTGATTGCTGGATATGGGCACCAGTGACCCCCATGACCCAAAAAAGGAAGAAATGAATAAAGATAATGGATAGACGAATGAATGGACAGACGGATGTATGGACGGATGGATGGATGGATGGATGGATGGATGGATGGATTGATGGATTGATGGATTGATGGATGGATGGATGGATGGATGGATGGATGGATGGATGGATGGATGGATGGATGGATGGATGGATGGATGAATGATGCATGGATGGATGAATGAATGAATGGTTGGATGGATGGATGGATGGATGGATGAATGGATGGATGGAGTTAAACGGTAAAAAATAAGGCCAACATCAGCAGGTACCTCGTCTCTTCCAGCTCATCTGCGTGCTGAACAGCGATCGCCTCATGTTTAGTCCTCCAGTGTGTCACCTCGCTGTTGAGTTTGGAAACAAGGCGCTGCATCTCCTGTTTGCTCTCCTGCTCCTCCTCCAGCTGCTCCTTCAGCACCTCACAGTCCTGCCGAGCGGAGCTCATGCTGCTGCTGAGGATCTGCCTCCCCTGGCACCACCACCCGAACACAACAGTGAACATTCTGCCCTCTGAATGATCTCAGCATGTTTCCCAGCTGAAACACTGACCTTCACCTCCTCGTCCAGCTGTTTCTTTAGCTCCTCCAGCTGTGACTGGAGTAGCAGCTTGGAGCGGGTTAGCTGGCTCGCTCTGCTTTCTGCCTCCTCCATTTGTCGACTCACGTCGGCGTTGTCGGCTGATAAAAAGGAGGAAAGCCGAGATTCATGAGATGTTTTATGTACAGACAAACAGGGTTGACATGAAGTTTGAATCCAAGATATTTCACAATATTTTGACAGCGCTTGGAGCATGTGTTGTGAATGACTCTCAGCTACCACTGAGACGCTCATCTTCTGATTTGAAAGAAGGAACATGACCCAATCACACCAGCTCTGTCCTCAGTTCACCGACTTCCTGTTTGTTTCAGGATCTGATTAAAGATTTAACTGCTTGTTTTTCAAAGTCTCAATGGCACCAATGTCAGAACATCTGCATCATCAAACTCGAGCTCTGAGGTCCACAAACCAGCTCCCCCTGGACTATCTCAGATCCAGACTCAAATCTAGAGGAGACAGAACCTTCTCAGAGGTGGGCCCCTGGGGCCCCCAATCTGTGGAACAGTCTGCCATTGAAACTCATATCTGTTCAGACCAGAAGTGATTTTAAATATACGACTAAAAAACTGTTTGTTCTCATTGACTGTTGTAGTTGAGCAGAACATCCTGATTATCTGTTAGTGTTTACTGATTAGACTTTTTACTGCGCAGATTTTATTTTACTTCACCTGCCGTGCTTCATGTTTGAACATTTCCTGTACCCCCTGAATCCTCGCAGAGGATCTGTGGTGGAAGTGATCTCCAGCTACAAGTACTTGGGTGTGCACCTGAAAGACAACCTCAGCTGTGGCAACAACACTACCAGCCTGATCAAGAAAGCTCATCAGAGACTCTACTTCCTCACGCAGCTGAGATGAGCTGGCCTGAGAAGCTCAGTCCTCACCTCCTTCTACAGGTGTGCAGTGGAGAGCATCCTGTGCTCCAGCATCAACGTGTGGCATGGAGGCTGCACAGCTGCAGAAAGAAAAACTTTGCTGAGAGTGGTGAAGGCTGCACAGAAGACTGTTGGAGTCAGCCTCCCCACCTTCACAGACATTTACACCTCCAGATGCAGGAAGAGGACCACCTGCATCATGAAGGACCCCACTCACCCAGCACACACACTTTTTGTCCCGCTCCCCTCAGGCAGAAGGCTGAGAAGCATTAAATGTAGAACCACTAAACTGAGGAACAGCTTCTACCCTGAAGCTGTTAGACTCATGAATCTCTAACCAGGATAATCACTGTGGGGGAAAAATAGAGAAAAATCACTGTGTGTGGGGAGGGGGGAGGGGGGGGTGTCCCTTAAGATACTGTCAAACATACTTTTGTAAAATAGATTAAGAATTAAACATCCTTTACTGTTTGGAGGGTAAGGTTTTGCCTCAAGTGGAGAAGTTCAAGTATCTCTGAGTATGTTTACAGTGAGGGAAGAATGGAGCGTGAGATTGACAGGCGGACTGGTGCAGCATCTGCAGTATTGTGGACTCTGTGCCAGTCCAATGTGGTGAAGAGGGAGCTGAGCCGTAAGTCATTGCTCTTACCGGTCAGTCTACATTCCTACCCTCACCTATGGTCACGAACTCTGGGTAGTGAATGAATGAGATTGTAGATACAGGAGGTTGAACTGAGTTTCCTCTGCAGAGTTGTTGGACTCTCCCTTAGAGATACCATACCATACCATACCAATTTATTTATATAGCACTTTAAACAGTGACAAAGCACACCAAAGTGCTGTACAGGGACAAACAGAACAAGCACATAGCAACAGATTACATAACAGGACACCAAAAATGTAGAAACCGACAAAAACAATAATGGATAACAACAACAACTGCAACATGACCAACACAGTGTGATGCACACAGACTCAGCACAGGTCACACAGTGCAGAAAGCCAGGGAATAAAAGTGTGTTTTTAAGCGAGATTTAAAAACTGTGAGGGAGGGGGCCTGTCTAACGAGCAGAGGTAACTCATTCCAAAGTTTTGGGCCTGCTACAGAGAAGGCCCTGTCACCTCTGCGCTTGAGGCGGGTTCCTGGGACTATTAGGAGCAGCTGGTCTGCTGATCTGAGAGAACGTGGTGGGACATACTGCTGGAGCAGATCAGTAAGATAGGAGGGGGCAGAGCTGTTTAGTGATTTATAGACATACAAGAGTATTTTGAATTTGATTCGAAAGTGAACTGGAAGCCAGTGTAGGGAGGCCAAAACAGGAGTAATGTGTTCTCTTTTGCTTGTGCTGGTCAAAAACTGGGCTGCTGCATTTTGGACCAGTTGGAGTCTAGCTATGGAGGTCTGACTGATACCAAAAAGGAGTGAGTTGCAATAGTCGAGCCTGGATGTAATGAATGCATGAATTACTGTCTCCAGGTTATTTCTGGACAATATGGGCTTCAGCTTAGACAGTCGCCTCAGCTGGAAAAAGCAGGATTTAACAATCATATTTACATGATTGTTGAGTTTCAGAGAAGGGTCAAGTATCACTCCTAGATTAGTGACTCTTTGTTTCACTAACGGTGACAGAACGGATAGGTCGATGTAGTGGTTGGTGATTGTGTCATTGGGAGGAAACAGCATAACTTCAGATTTCTTCTCATTGAAACTCAAGAAATTTAAAGCCATCCAATCTCTGATGTCAGCCAGGCAGTCCAGTAACGGTTGAATAGAGCGAGTACCGTTGAGTCTGAGGGGGAAGTAGATTTGGCAGTCGTCGGCGTAGAAATGAAAAGGTATGTTATGTTTCCTGAAAATAGCACCTAGTGGCAGCAGGTATAGAGAAAATAAAAGAGGACCAAGGATGGAACCTTGCGGTACCCCCCATTTAAGCGCTGCCGAGGCTGAACTAAAATCTTTGATGGAGACACAAAAGGACCTGTCAGCGAGGTAAGATCTAAACCATTCGAGGGCTGACCCAGTGATGCCCACCCACTGCTCTAACCTCGCAATGAGGATCTCGTGGTCGATTGTATCAAAGGCAGATGTGAGGTCCAGTAAGAGAAGGAGCACAGAATCACCAGCGTCTGTGAATAAGAGAATGTCGTTAAAAACCTTGAGAAGAGCAGTTTCAGTGCTGTGGAGAGGTTTAAAGCCAGACTGGAATAGCTCTAAGATGGCATTATCCTCTAGAAAGCATTTCAGCTGGGACTCCACTATTTTTTCCAGTAGTTTAGCGACAAATGGGAGTCTGGAGACAGGCCGGAAGTTGGACATGACTGAGGGGTCAAGGCTAGGTTTTTTCAGGAGAGGTTGGACAGCAGCATGTTTAAAAGTTATTGGCACCACACCTGAGGCTAAGCTGCTGTTCACAATGCCAAGAACAGGAGGGCCCAGAACAGGAAGAAGCTCCTTCAGGAGTCGAGGGGGGACAACGTCAAAAGGGGAGCCAGATGGCTTCATGCTGCACATGACCTGCTCCAGGGAAGACAGAGAGATGGGCTCAAAGTGATCAAGAACAGCAACACAATGAGATGGGATGGACGGATCATGAACAGGTGGAGAAATGAGTGCCCGGGTGTTTGCAACTTTTTCAGAAAAGAAATGGAGGAAGTTTTCACACAGCTCAGTTGAGGCTTCTAGAGGTGAAGGTTCACTGAGGTGTAGAACTGAGTTCAGAGTGGAAAAAAGGGCTCGGGGGTTGTGGGAGTTTGAGGCAATTATCGCAGAAAAGAACTTCGATTTGGCGGCTTTAACTGCCTTCTGATAATGACGCCAACTCTCCTTTAGGATTTGAAAAGAAACCTGCAGCCTGTCTTTCCTCCACCTGCGTTCTGCTCTCCTACACTGCTGTCTAACGGCTTGAGTGATGTCATTAAGCCATGGTTCTGATAAAAGTTTTGTTTTAGAGATAGGATGAGAAGTCCAGTTATCCAGGAGAGACTTGGAGTAGAACCACTACTCTTCCACATCAAGAGGAGCCAGTTGAGGTGGTTAGGGCATTTGGTAAGGATGCTCCCTGGGCGCTTCCCTAGGGAGGCTCTTTGGGCATGGCTGACTAGGAGGAGATCCTGAGGAAAACCCAGGAGACTCTGGAGAGTCTATGTCTCTCAGTTGGCCTGGGAACACCTTGGAGTCCTCCCAGAAGAGCTGGAAGAGGTGGCTGTGGAGAGAGATGTCTGGACCTAGATTAAGTGGAAGATAATGTACCAGTATGCATGTATCTATGTATGTATGGATGGATGGATAGACAGCATGAGAGTTAACTCTAATAAATGATTTCATCTCATCCATCCAGTTTTAAACAACACAATGGAGTTATTAATCTGTAAAGTTGATCGGTGGACAGTTTCATAGAAACTTGGGTGTGTCTGAAGCACAAATGTAAGAACTCATCTTCACAGCCAGTAAAAAGCTGGTAAAGGTGGAGTGTCCAGGGTTATGTGATGCTCATAAACAGCCTCGGCATACCTGACAGTCGGTTCTTGGCCACGTTGAGCTCAGTCAGCGTCTTCTGCAGCTCGTCTCCTCTCCTGTTGGCCTCAGTCAGTTGCTCCTCCAATTTTTTTGTCTGGCTGTCTGATGACATCTGCAGCACAAACACAACCATGAAACAGTTCTGCCAAACCACCAACCCGTCAAAGCCCACGCCTCACCGCCTCCTGACCTTGGCTTTCTGCAGGTTACTCAGCGATGTGGCCAGGTCATCCACCTCCATCCTCAGGTTCTGCTTCTCCTTCTCCAGTTTGGTTCTGGTCCTCTGCAGAGCCTCACATCGCTCGCTCAGCTCTGACAAAGCCTCACAGTGCCTCTTCTTCAGCGAGGCAGCCAGTGCCTCAGACTGGACTGAGGACTCCTCCAGGTCTCTCCTCAGACGCTGGAACTCAGCCTCTCGCTTCTTGTTCATCTCCATCTGTTCACCACACAGAGGTTGAGTTGAAAAGGCTAGAGTGATTGTTTCAGTCAAGAGTCTTCCAGCTCTAAGTTACAGGATATTTGTGAGAAAGCTCCTTTGAGACCAGCAGGAACGCTGACAGAAGAGTACCTGTGAAGCAGTGAGCCCTCCTGCTTCCTCTAGCCGATCTGTCAGATCATCCAGTTCTCTGGTGAGGTCTGCCCTCTGCTTCTCCACCTGATTAACACAAGGAAAACCTGGTGAAGGAGCAGAACTCAACTCCTAATGAGTGGAGATTCTGCTAGAATTCAAAGCAACCAAACCTCCATTAGTTGTTCCCCCTAAATCAGTCCCACCTACAGGAGATCAACAGGACAGACAGCTCACTAAACTGAATAAACTGAACACTTTCATGAAGTCAAAGGTCAGCAGAGTGGTCTCCACCCAGAGCAATGTAGGCTGATAGCTGCTGTTACATTGGCCAAATATCATTGTCCCGCTCCTGTTTCCTGTGAATGTTTTATCTCCCAGATTTCTTCGGAAGAAGCTGTCAGCTTCATGATGTGTCATCTAGGGCATTAACAGAGTACTCGAGTAATCTACACATCGATTGCATCTATCGAGGTTAAAAATGTAACATCGAGTATCCGTAGTGACGTCATATTATGTGACCACCGTATGACCGTAGGGGGTGGTGTTGCACTGTTGCAGGTCACAGAGTATGGTGTAACACTGGGTCCAATCCACCGAACCAGAACCAGTTTCAGTTTAAGTTTCGTTTTTGACGTGCTGCATGTTTCTTCACGTTTGCAGTTTAATAATAATAACTAATAGTTTATCCTGATGCATGCTCAATAATCCAGGTAGAAAAATCTAAAAAAGTTAAATCTGGTCCTCTGGACATTCAAAAAAACAAAACAAGCAAATCAACAAAAAAATGTAGAAACGTTTCGTCTCTCATCCGAGAGACTTCCTAAGTCTGAGGAGCTGTATTCAGCTCAGTCTCTTAAATAGCACCGTTTCAGAGTGGATCAACCAGTTTTGCTGCTGACAACCAAAACCAGCTGATCACATGCTCAAGAAGGACCATCAGCCTAACAATGGATCATTAGCACACTGATGGCTGTTTACTACTCACAGAGGGCTGAGTGATACTAGCAATCACAGCATTGTAAGAGGGGGACAGTTGAACCCGGAGGCCTCCACCCCTGTTTAATGATGGACGATTTCTTTTCACAAAGATGGCCTCCTTTACTCCTCTCTCAAACCATCGTTCCTCTCTGTCCAGGATGTGAACATCTTCATCCTTGAAAGAGTGACCGCTGGCCTGGAGATGAGTGTAGACCGCAGAGTCCTGGCCTGATGATGTTGATCTTCTGTGCTGGGCCATCCTTTTGGCCAGTGGCTGTTTTGTTTCCCCGATGTAAGACTGATCACAGCCCTCCTGACACTGAACAGCATACAGAACATTGCTCTGTTAGTGCCGGGGGACTGAATCTTTGGGATGAACCAGTCTTTGCCGTAATGTATTTTGGGGTTTAAAAGCCACTGGGACGTTATGTTTAGAAAATAAACGTCTCAGTTTCTCTGATACTCCCTCAACATATGGAATGACCACTGGTCTGGGTCTGGGTTCCTCCTTTTCACCTGTTGGCTGACTGGAGTCCTGTTTGGGTTTCTTCTCTGCTTTCAGGAAGGCCCAGTTAGGATATCCACATTGCTCTAGAGCCTGTCTTGTGTGGGATTTCTCCTTCTGCCTAGCTCCAGAGTTAGTGGGGACGCTGTCTGCTCTGTGATACAGAGTCCTGATGACTCCTAACTTGTGCTCCAAAGGGTGATGGGAGTCAAACTGCAAATACTGGTCTGTGTGGGTGGGTTTGCAGTACACCTCAGTTTGCAAATGTCCTCTATCAGAGACTGAGACCTCACAGTCCAAGAAAGCCAACCTGCCATTTTTAGGCTGATGGTCCTTCTTGAGCATGTGATCAGCTGGTTTTGGTTGTCAGCAGCAAAACTGGTTGATCCACTCTGAGAAGGTGCTATTTAAGAGACTGAGCTGAGTACAGCTCCTCAGACTGAGGAAGTCTCTCGGATGAGAGACGAAACGTTTCTACATTTTTTTGTTGATTTGCTTTGTTTTGTTTTTTTGAATGTCCAGAGGACCAGATTTAACTTTTTTAAACTAATAGTTTAGTTTTTCCTGTGACTTATTTGCAGTATGATAAATGGTAGGAGCATAATATGCGCTCCCAATGTTTTGTTGGTCTTTTTTGTTGTTGTAAATAATTACCTTTTTTTGCGGTTTTATTTATTTATTTATTTTTGTATCTTGAGGTCTATGACGTCATCAAATACTCGAGTTCTACTCGGGTTTTATTATGTTAATGTCGAGTTTAAAAATTATATACTCGTTCAACCCCTAGTGTCATCGGTCTTTGTCGTGGCTGACAAGGAAAAAAGCCTTTTCCAAGCCTGGCCCTTCCTTTCAACAAGAGGCAAATATAGATTTGTTGCTTATTACTATTTTAAACAAGGTTATTTAGTTCCTAAATGATGTCCACAATATGCTTTGGTAGCCTTTATAGAATTTCAGCAAGTGGGCAATAGGAAACAGATATGTAGGCTAGACAGGCTAGAGGAAATAATTTGGTTTCTTTTTTGAGGGAGAGGGCAGGGGCAGGGCTGAGTGCTCGTGCCACCCTTGATGAGATGCTGCCCTGGGCAGTTGCTTTTATTGCCCATATCAGAAACCACAACTGGCCAAAGCCTCCTTTATACCTTTCACTCAAGGGTATGATGGTTTGCCAGAATTTCTTTGAGACCAAGACATTGAAGACTGAGATGAACTTGATACTTCAACCTCCTCCACAAGCACAGTTTCTTTTCCCAACAGTGAAGCAAAATTTCATGTTCCTACAGTTTCAACAAAAGTGGATTGGACCAATCCACAATGCACTGGTCTTCTGGGATCCTTGGAACCCTCAGAAATTCCTATCACATTAAGGTGGTGATTACAGAGGTGATAAACACATTTCTATTAAAAATGGTTCAGGTTCAAGGACTAAAACTCAGTGACAAAGTGGCCAGCGTTCATAGAAAAACTTTAAAAATCCTATGGAACAACAGATTAAGTCCACTTTAAAGGATTACGCCAAAGTCTTTTTTCATTCAACCTTTATTTAGACAGGTAAATCCCATTGAGCCTTGAGGACTCATTTACTAGAGAGACATGATTTCAACAAAGAATGATGACAACAATGGACAACAGCGACAACAATAAATGATTGGAAGGAAAATGGTGCCCTCCAACAAGTGCAAGACATGTAGCTTCTGGTACACAGGTTTTGAAAGAAGGGGAAGGGGTGTAGGGATTCACTCATCTCCCTTGCAGGGCCAGGGATGTATCTAATACAACTGACATGAGCTGACCTGACAATCACTCCAGTAGGTTTGTCAGCAACTAAAATATTTGCGATCGCAAGTTGTCCTGGAGTGAAATGCCCCTTACCTGTAGGAGCTACACCCCCTTTTCCTTCAACAACATTGGGGGGTTGCATTACGAATGCTTTGCAGTCAGAGGGATTTCATTAAAAATCATCGGAAAAAATGGTTAAACTTCAGTGGGGAACATGCAGTTCAGACAGCGTTACTCAGAGTGTTTCGAGGATGGAGTACAGTTTATTCCATTTCCAAAACCTAAATGGGGTCTGAAAAAATGTCTTCTTTTTCTTCTTTTGGCGTTTTCCTTTTCAGGGGTCGCCACAGCGAGTCATCCTCCTCCATCTCACTCTGTCCTCACTCCAACTACCGCCATGTCCTCTCTAACATCCTTCTACCATTATAACCACTGTCCCTCCATCACTACTGTCCAAACCATCTCAATCTGGCCTTTCTAACTAATGCCCCAGTTGTTCAACCTGTGCTGTACCTCTGATGATCTCATTCCCAATCTTATCCATCATTGTCACTCCTAAGGAGAACCTCAACATTTTCATTTCTGATACTTCCAGTTCTTTCACCTGTGTTTTTGTCAGTGCCACTGTCTCCAGACCATACAACATAGCTGGTCTCACAACTGTCTTGTAAACTTTCCTTTGTCTTTTGTTGACACCCTTTTATCACAAATCACTCCTGAAACTTTTCCCCATCCACTCTGTTCATGCCTGGACTCTCTTCTTCACCTCTTAACCACATTCCCTGTTTACCTGGACAGTTGACCCCAAGTACTTGGAGTCCTGCACCATGGTCATTATTTGAATTATCCCACAAGAGTTTTGTCTAAGGCAGCACAGTGGCGCAACTGGTAGAGCTGCTGCCTCTCAGCAAGCAGGTCCCCGGTCCAAATCCCGGTGCGTGGGTATTTCTGGGTGGAGTTTGCATGTTCTCTCCGTGCATGTGTGGGTTTTCTCCGGGTACTCCGGTTTCCTCCCACAGACCAAAAACATGCATGTTAGACTGATTGGTAACTCTAAATTGTCCCTAGGTGAGAGTGAGAGAGTGAATGGTTATTTGTCTCGTTTGTCTCTATGTGTCCCTGTGATGGACTTGCGACCTGTCCAGGGTGCACCCCGCCCCTCGCACAGTGATTGCTGGACATGGGCACCATCGACCCCCGTGATCCAAAATGGAAGAAGCGGGTAAAAGCTAATGGATGATAGATGGACTTTTGTCTATTTATGTCCTGATGCATGCTCAATAATCCAGGTAAATAAATCTAACAAGGTTGAGTCAGTTCTCTGGAAAATAATCCATCCAGAGGACCTGACTCATCCTTGTTAGATTTATCTATTTACATTATTTTTAGTATAGTTCTTACGAAATGTAACTGTTCTTTACATCAAAGACAGTGCAACACCACTATTAAATCTTATGTGAATACTGTAC